ATGCACAGATTTACATAACGACATTGAGTCATTTTTGAGACACAAACCGAAATATAAAAATATACTACTTTATTGATTTTCATATCGACATTGAAGTCGTTATAGAACAATAAACGACATGGAAGTCATTATATAAAACCTTGCAGAATGAGCGCAACATAGGGAGCCATTGTGCGCGCGTCCAATGGACCATTTGCTCTCTCTAACGGTAAACATCTCAGAAGGGCACGTGCTAACCAATTTTTTGGGTTAACATTTTGGTCCCCAAACATTCGTTCGTCATTCAATGGAGACTTTTTCTCATGTAATTTTCAAAAAATGACAATAAATCAAAATTATCAAACTCATGAAAAACATAATTACATCCGTATGATTTCCGTACAAATTTTGCAAAATTGAAGTCGTTCCTATTCAAATCATAACTAAACCAACATAGATATCATTTTCTTTAATATGTAACGATGCTGATATCATTATGTATTAAACTCATGAAATAATATAACGGTATTCATATCATTTCAGTACAATTTTGACGACATTAATATCATTTTAGCTCAATTCATAACATTTTTTAGCTAGAACGATGTAATTATCATTTTATATGAAAAGAAACGATATCTATGCTGTTGCAGTTATGATTTGAATTGGAACAATTTTTAACTTGTTAAATTTGTATAAAAACAAATCTTTATGTTATTTCGTGGTTTTGAAACATAACGATATCATTGTCGTTTCTATACAATTTTGATGTCATTAATATCGTTTCAGTTTAAATTTTAACAAAAACGATTTAAATCATAACTAAAACGACATATGTATTATTTTAGTTTATATAACACAATAATTATATTGTTTCTGCTAAAAATGACAATTCTTTTATCCACGATCACCCAACATGCATTTAACATGTGTAGAACAATCGAAACAGGTCATCGAGTGAGTTCGATCTCATTCATTAGAAACTATGGGAACATTTGAATTCTCTTGACTGTATACCATCTTCTAACTTTTCCAATAGAAAGAAAGTATATTCGTTAACTTTTTCTAAGCTATTTAAGTTATATTAACCCACTTAATGACCTTTTTGGGTCATCCTACATATGTTGAAGGCATGCCAAGTGGGAGTGGATGGTCGAATTTTTGTTTTTAGTCAGAATGATATAATTATCATTTTATATGAAAAGAAACGATAACTACATCGTTGTAATTATAATTTGAACTGGAACAATTTCAAACTCTTCAAATTTGTACTAAAACGATATAGATATCGTTAAGTTATTTCATGGGTTTGATACATAACGATATCATTATCGTTCTAGCACAATTTTGGCGACACTGCTATCATTTTAGTTTAAATCATAATTAAAATAACATATATATCATTTAGTTTATATAAAATGATAATTATAACGATTCGATCATCCACGACCATCTGGTATGCCTTTGACAAGCTATTGTGAATGGATAATCATTTGTAGTCAAAATGATATAATTGTCATTTTATATGAAAAGAAACGGCTTCAATATCTTAATTATGATTTGAATTGGAACGATATCGATCTAATTAAATATGTACTGAAGCGACATGGATGTTATATTATTTCGTAGGTTTGATGTATAACCATGTTACCTACTAAAGAAACAACTTCAACGTCGTTCTAGTTATGATTTGAATTGGAACGATTTTAATCTCGTGAAATTTTGTATTGAAACAACATAGATGTCGTTATGTTATTTGGTGGATTTGATAAATAATAATATCACTATTATTAAATAACAAAAGAAACGATATCAATGTCGTTGTAGTTATGATTTGAACTAGAACAATGTCAATGTTGCAAATATTGTATTGAAACAACATGGATATTGTTATGTTATTTCATGGATCTGATTCATAACGATTCAATGTCGTTATATATTAAAAGAAACGACTACAATGATGTTTTAATAGTGATTTGACGCGCATGTGTGGTCCATGTTGGTACGCACACACCTCCCAGTTATTCACTATCTGAGAGCAAATTGTCCCTTAGGTGTGTGTTCATAACACCCCATGTCCACGCAAGGTTCAAATTTTATTTTTTTTTTAATCAAAATGACTTTTATTTAGTTTAATTACTCTCTAACAACTTCAATGTCGCTATGAAAATCAATAAAGCAATGTGTATTTCGTACAAAAAATGGCGTCAACATTTTTTTATGTCTCAAGAATGATTTCAATATCATTATGTTAATCAGTGTAATTTTTGTATTGGAACGACATCAATATCATTTTTTATATAAGTAACGATTTCAATGTGATTATACAAATGCGTGCATTTTTGTACTAAAATGATATCAATATCGTTTGTGTCACATGAATGAAATATATATCGTTACACGAAGCAATACTTTGACTTAACGAGCTAAATGTCATTTTATTAGTTATAGAACAATACCATTATCCTAAATATGTACGATATTTAAATTTGAAAGTTAAAAGCCTGAAAATAAGTAAATTTCAATTGCATTCAATATCTTTAATCGTTACAATTGCAAATGTATTATCAAATAGCTACACAACATCCTAAAAATATCAAGTAGTCTACCCAAAGAAAATGAAGTAGATAGTAGTCTACCCAAAGAAAATGAAGTAGCTATACAACATTCTTAAAATATTGACTATTTCGAACAAACAAAACAAAGTAACTTCAGAACTATATGAAAACATCAATAAAACTAACAAAAAATCTAATGCTCAAAATCTCATGCCGACAGCTCTTTAAACCATGCTCCTTTTTGTGGTTTTTGTCATTCACAAAATTGATGCACAATCTGTAAAGCCAACCTAATATCCTTTAGTCTAAGAAGTGATCCAAAGCAACTCTTGTAAAGCTTGTTCTTTATAGCACTGCAAAATACATAATAATTACAAATATTAGAACAAATGATGGCAGTAAAACACATAAGAACAAGATGCATAAGTTGTATAAACCAAGTTTAGCATAAAAATTTTCGACAAGAAATTTTTTTTATAGATTGTAATCACTGTAGTACTTTACAACAAAAAAGTTCTACTAACAGTCTGCTAGTACATTTACTAGCTTTATAACCAACTATGAAATCATTACGAAAGATTATGCTTCATTTCACACATTACTTGATAGTTTAATAAGATGAATTAAGTCCAATTCCTAGCATAAACTCCTATTTTTTTCCTCAAAACTTAAAAGACAACATCAAATCTGGAGAGAGTTAAACACAATGAGCATCAAATCACTTTCAACTCACATACATATTTGAGAAAAGAGTAAAAGATAATGAATCTCAAGTCACTCTCAACTCACATACATATTTAGGCATTACATCTATTATCTCATTTTCAACATCTTCTTTTACTTCCCATCTCATCCTATCAAATAAGCATTACATTGCACGCAAGTATGATATGAAATTTGAGCCTCATTTTAAGTATATATCATTGACTGAAAAGTTTTACTCTAATTTGTAAGGTAAGCTCATATGGTGAAATCACATTTTTACCTAAATTGACAACAATATTTCGAATGGCATTTAGCATTGCATCCTTGTGAAGGAAATGTAAGACTTTACACATCATTTGCTAGAAAATGAAAATAAATAAAATCTAATGACCTTCTTGAAACAAAATTGAGAAAGTTAGTCAAGTGAGAACCAACAAACAACATCTTCAAAAAGTCACAATGAGCCCAATTTTGGAAAAAACCACAAATGGCTTTCATAGGTTATACTTAAAGGGATGATGGCCAGTTCTAAAGGTAAGGAGAAAGCCACAACCAACATCATCAAAAATTCAAGAGAGATTGATTAAAAATTGATGTTGTAGAAGGAAAACTACCATCATAAAACAACAATTTCGAAAAATAAATTATAATGAGCTAGAAGTTGAGAAGCATTTAAGATCAAATCATTCATACACCATCAAATCCCCAATAGAATTAAGGTATGTTTTTAAATAAATATTTGATATTAACTCCAAAATTTGGTAATGAAGAAAATGACTTATCTTTGTAAAAATTACTTATAATGGTGCCAAGAGGTGATTAAAATGTCTCCCATTTTAGATCATAGGCGTAGGTTACAAACCCTTCTCTGACTTGTTTACTGTTTAGATTCGCCATTGCTACCCAATAAGTTAATTCACACGCAAATAGATGACGAAATGGACTTCTCCACGACGAAGAGAGGGCAAAGAGTGCACTGTCTAGAATAGTCCTCATTATGTCTTTTTTTTTTTTTTCAGTTTACAATATATAGTAATTGGAAGAGAAATTCTTTGTTGGGACGCTCATTATTCACGTTGTTTGATCATTCACTTCTGATTTGAATTTATACCTTAAAACTACGGAAAATATCCTAATTTACACATATATGTACCCAAGTGTTCCATTTACAAACATAAAAAAGAAAGAAAATCTGGGAAGAGCAAGTTCAATACTATAAAGAATGATTACCTCCTCCACTTCCTCAGCTAATTTAATAAAACTTGAAATCAATTTCTTGACTTTTCCAAGCTATTCTTTTGGATAATTTTTCAACCAAAAGCCAATTTCACGATAATTGTCAACCTTTCTTTCCTCTCCTTCGTCCTCTTTTTGTCACCTCCTGTTCAATTCCTTCATCTTTTTCCTCTGCTTAGTCTGCCCTTTTACCCTAACATAAAGAAAAAAGGTAGTTTCAATTTCATTAGTGAAACCAAAGACTAAGGGGCAAGGAAGAAGATAGGTTTGATTTGAGAATGGAGATGTAACCGAAGCCTCCTTTTCAATTTTCAATTTGGGATAAATGATTTTGACATGGATAAATCTTCAATTCCTTCTTTAATTTGGCTTTTTACAAGGGAGGATAAAATGATCTTTTTATATTTTTAAATAATTATATTTTATTTTATTTTTGAGAACTTGGTCAACAACCAATTGGACAAAAAGAAATTGATTAAATGGCCATTTGAACTCGTTCGGTCCTTTCCCTTAAAAAATAGAAATATTTGACTTAGGCATTACACTTTCCATTCCTCAACCGGATCAGCCCAAATGACCATCAAAGAAGAAGACTACGTTTCATCGAATTCCTCTTCCCCAACGGCCACTGCCGAGGCCACCGTTGGCGGCTTCGTCGATAGTGGCGGCCTGATTATGTCAACCACCGATGCTATCCGTTCATTTTTCATCTCTGCATCCTCAGACTCCAGCCTCCACCAGGACTTCAGAGATCTCTCCTCCTTGCTCTCATTGCGCCCTTCTGTACCCTATAAATCTTTCAAGTCCATCTGGCTTGGAATCGACCCAACTACCCGCCCGGACCTAACAACCCTTCTCACTGGGTCCAATTTCATCTTTACCAGCCCCAAGCCCAGAGAAAAGGTTATAATGACATTAATAATTTGGGGAATAAATGGAATCAAAGGATTTTCCAATACTGATCTATACTGTTTATGATTTTAATAGTTCAAAAATGCAAAGTATATGATAATTGTATTTTGCTTAATGTGATCTGGATATTTCCAATTTTCATGGTTTTCAAATTTTGATTTTAGAGTGTAGAATTAAAGGTGAGGTTGAAGAAGCTAGCGGAGGTGGCAGAGAGGAAGGCCTATGAAGAGTTGGTGAAGGACATTACTCCAAGGAAGGGTGTAGAGGAGCCTTTCTCCACCTACAAGGATCAACTGGGCTTCGGTGAGCATCTTTTAGCTTTTTTAGGCCTTTAGTAGATATTTGGAAATACATTTGAATTAATTTGGGCAATTTGAGTTCCAATTTTGTTATTGCATAGTTTTTCAGCATTTAGAAAAAATTACATTTTCAATTCTAAGATGCAGGCTGTAGCTTTATTTGTGTAGCCCGTGTTTCATAGGGATTGAATTCTAGTTTTTAAGCTAAATCAAAATCAATAATTAATGTTAACCACATATTTTATAGGAACCACAACTTCTCATCCTCAAATTTCATCAACTTTTATCAAAATCTACTAAAAATTTGATTTTAATCCTAACTAAACATGGGCATAGTCTTTGTAAAGCTTAAAACCGTTCTTTTTTTTCCTCTTCTGCAAAATAAAGGACAAGATTGGTAATGTTGTGTTGATTTAGATATTAACGAAAAATGTGGAGTGGTATCTTTCGTATATTATTTCTAATATTTATTTACTTTTCTAAGTTTTTGTATGTGTTTTATGCATGAGGCTGAGCGTGGAATGCAAGTTGAAACTTGTGTGATTGATTGTTGTTTCATGCTGGAGATAAGAACTAATGAAGAAAATCAGTTGCATTCATTGGTTTCTTCGACTGTTAGAAAGAAACAAGAAAGGGAAGAAAGGTTGTTAGCAAAGTGACATCACACCTTCCCATACTATTCAAAATACTAGAAATTTGAAAGCAAAGTCATGGCCTTCATATGTGCCCAAACTTCATGACCTCTCCATTATCCTGATCGGGCAACTGTTTGCCTAGGTCCAACTGATAATTTATAAAAAAAAAATTGGAAAATCACACTGCTCATTAATCCAATGCTACCCACATTCAAGCTTCAAAGTGCTCACAAATGCTGAATAAGCAAATGGCACTCCAAACTATGTGAAGCTGAACTAAGACCACACAACTTGAGCCATATCATGCTGACTCATATGTGGCCATCTTGAATCCATAGGTTTGTCCTGGGACCTCGGCTTGACTAGGTCTTTGGTTGATCATATCCTTGATTCCTATTGATTCGATTTGATACGAAGTGTACTGAGCATGTGCAATGTTGCACAGTTAACCAATTGTTTACAATTCTACCATTGCGGAAAAGGTGGTTGTGGAGACAATAATGATATCGACAAGTCTAAGAGTCAGAGTCGACAATAGTTGTAGTGACATCAACTAGCTGTATGTTCATTTGCCCAGTTGCAAAAATATTTTAGAAACTCACAAATGTTCTCACACTCGAACAAAAATTTGTCCATTCAATCTTTCAACATCTGAAACCTAGCCTGACTTAAGTATTGAAGTGATTTTGCTATTGCACTCTAATGTTTGTCCCAAGTGTTGTAACTATCTACGGTTTGACAAAACGCTGCTCATTTTGTTGACTAACAAGTCATCCAAATATCGATGTTGACATGTTTTATGGTACAAAGTATTGGGTGTTAAAGAATTAAATGTCTATAGGATGAATGTAGCGAAAATAAGGATGCTAAGAAGGATGTGCAGTCATACTGTGATACTAAATATATAAGATAACAAATTAGAAAATACGCCAATTGTGGGAGTGGTGCGGTTGAGGATAAGTCAAGGAATGATAACTTTGGGGTGGAACAGGTCTTCCATAGATGTAGACGTGTTCATAAGAGTTACTTGGTGATGGAAACCTTAGTAGAAATATTATTTAATTTGGTTTTTAACTTTGATGCTTATTTTAAGAAACATAATTATGGTTTGATTTAATAGATTTTATTAGATGTTTTAACTGAAAATAGGACATTTGAAACCTATATAAAAGGCTTTATGTATTGTAATAGACACCACTTGTATGAATAAAAAGTGATACTTTCTTCCTGCAATTTCTCTTCCATCTGTCAAGTTCTTCTCACTTTCTATCTCCCCCTTTTCTTCTCTTTACAGTCTCCTTTCTCTTCTTAACTTCCCTTCCCCTTCTGTATAATTGTCTGATTGCATCCTACATCACTCCGTCTATGAGAATATGTAGAAGAGGAAGGAGTATGCCTAAACTAACATGGATGGTATTTATTAAGGATGTAGTGGCTTTAGATTTTTATGTAATTCTAGCAATGAACAGATGGAATGGCAGAATGGCTAATGTTGCTAACCCCAAATTTAGAGGAGAATGGGTTTTTTTTATTGGTGTATCTGGTTCTCTTCTAACATTGTCAAACCCAGACTTATTGGTGAATGGGTGGGTTTGTTGTTGTATCTGGTTCTCTTCTAATGTGTTATAATATGATCTTATCGCTTTTTTATAATTAAAGTTTGTTGGATCTAGACAAAGCATGTTGGAACCAACTATGTTGTCCTGCAATTTGTCTACCATCACAAATTATAACTATTTCTAAGTTGACATTGCATAATGCTATGTTTTGGGTAGAATTGTATTTATTCAGATTCATATGTTTTTAAGAGCATTTGGTTCTTTATTTTCAAATATGTTTGTTTAGAAACAACTGTAGTCGTGGTCTAAAGCGTTAAATGTGAAATTATTAAATTTTGAGGCGTGAGGTTGTGTTTAAATAGTCAGTTCGCCTGGGAGGAAGCTCTACTGGCCCTATCAGATTTTCCTTTTTAATTTACCATTTGAAAAAACTAAATAAATAATTAGAGAAAGAACAATGAAATGGAAAAAAAATTGGCCCTATCAGATTTTCCTGGGAGGAAGCTCTACTGGCCCTATCAGATTTTCCTTTTACTTTACCTTTTGAAAAAACTAAATAAATAATTAGAGAAAGAGCAATGAAATGGAAAAAAATGAATAATGAAATTGTGCATGGAAAACGAAAAACAAAAATATATAAGGAAGAGTAAAAAAAAAGAAAAAAAGAAAAAAAAAAGAATATTTGTTTTCATGCTGAACTTACTTCAATTATTGTCTTTTTTTGCGCAATTAGCCAGGCCATGTGGTCGTGAAACATTTGATTTCAGTGGACCTTGTTGCTACGCTTTTTAATTTCTTTCAACATTTCTTTATGTATAGCATTGGAATATACAGAATAGATAAAAAGAATTCATTTTTCCAGAAAATAATACACTAGAAATATGATTTAGCGTCTTCATTATTGCAGTTTGTCATTTTTGCTCCACATTTTCTATCCTGGAACCTAATTGAAGTAATAAATTGAATATGTGTTGATATTACATTGAAATTGCAGCTTGAATGTAACTGTGTGTGTGAATTCCTTATGGAAATCACAAGTGGATATAAACAGCTGGAGAATTCGAGGTTTAAATTTCCGTTTCATTTACTTTTAAGATTGTGTATGAATTACACGAGTTCAATATTTTAGCATTTCTAAAGATTCGTGGAATTAATATCATTCTAACATTAGGATTTAGGGTCTCAGATTAGCGAAGGTTAGGATCCTGAGTTATGAACTGTGATTTGAACAACTATTTATGTTAATTTTTCCTCTTTTTCTATTTTTTTAAAGCGCTATTTTTTTTATTTTTATTTTTTTAAATTTGTTCATTTTTATTCAAATAATTCTCTTTTATTTGACACTTCTTTTAACTCTTATAAATGTTCCAGGCACTGCCAAGGTGTATGCTATTATGTTATAGAAAAAATGATAAATTGTTGTTGTAGCCTAATACTTGGGAGCTGTGTCCTTATCTAAAAGGTGTCATACATGGGAATCAAGGATCATGCTGTCACGCATTCAAACAACTTTTTTATTTCATCCAGAAATTCTAGATGTTTCTGTCATTTGGAAAATTATTTACTCTGCTTTCTTCTTAAAAGAGCCTTTCTTTCGAATTCTCTTATTGGTTTAACCTGAAGATGGTTCTCTAAATGTAACTCCTTAATTTGCCAAGTTAGGCTTATTTGAACATAGAAGTTGAATTCCTTGCCTCCCTCTCTCAGATAGCTCAAGTTTGTGAGATTGCTGTACAACCTAGCGCTGTTGCTCTTGAAGCTCATTGTTTTACTATGTAGCTTGTTTTGTATTGAATTTCTGTGATTACGAAAGCTGCATGTGTGATATTCTCTTTGTTTACTTGACAGGTTTACATGTTGTGCTTATAATGTTCACTGGCTACTTGATTGGATATGCAGCATTCAGAGCCTTGTTTAGCCACAGTCCTGGAATGGTAACTCTCACAATGATTCAGAATTATTTATTTGTTTTTGACATAAATATGCTAAATGGAAGGCCATTGAAACATAATTCCTTCTTATTTCCAAGTAATTTCATTCAAGATTGCTGCCTAACAGTGTTTGCCTTTTACTGTAATGATCCATTAACTGCAATAAATTTTTCTCATTTTCATTTCAGAGTGCTGCTGGAGGAATCCTTGGATTGGTTGGCGGCATGCTGGTAGAGGCATTTCTATTTATAATCAGGACTTCCAGTCAAGATCTTCAACCCCGTTCTTCCACTTTGAAGATTAAGAAGAATCAATAGGCTTCATCATAAGAGGTTTGGTTTTAATTATATATATATATATCTTCTGTTCTTTATGTCTTTTCTTTTAGGAAATAAAAGGAGACGATTGTTCCGTCACCTGATAAATGGAGTTGTTAAATTTACCAACACAGACTACACAGTCCACTAGTAAATTTTTGCCACTTAACTATTGGGACTTTTCTTTGTGGAGCAGTATAAAGAAAAAACTATCTTTATCTGATTATTTACATTTTGAATCAGTAGGTAGACTACATACCGTGATTTTTGTGCTTCAGATGCAATTGAATAGTGGTTTTCTGGTCATTAGGTGATAGAATATCCAACATAGTCTGAAAATCAAGGGTACAGCAAGTGTTAGTGCTACATGACTAAAAGAAAAAGAATTTGATGGTAAGTTTGAGAAATTCGTTATGACATTTACATCCCTGCCTCGAGTTTTTCCACTTCTTTTTTATTTTATTTTTAAGTATGTGTATTTTCCTTTCATTTGCAAGTGTGTGCACAGTTCTGTTTCTTGTTTGAACTATATCAACAGCATTTGAATAGTTGCATATTGTGATAACTGCTTGAGCCCCAGTTCCACGTTACTTGTGTTGCATGGAAATGAACAAGATATGAATTCTCACGATTTCTATGATAGACTTGATTTAGAGATAGATATTGAGTCTCTACTAGGTGTTTTATAATCTCAAGGCTAGTAGTTTAGGATCTATAGATATTGCTAGAGAAGTTTATCGTAGTGGGACACTCCGTAGGTATTGAAGTGGCACGTAAAATTAACTTACAATTTAACTTTTAATTGAGACTTCCAAACAACCAGTCGAGCTACTCAGGCAGTCTCACAATCAAGCAATCCACATAGGAAAACTGCCGTTTGAGTGTATTTGTGCAGGTTGGAAGGCGGCCAGGGAAGGAAGGGGGCTATTATATACTTGAGCATCTATGATTTAGTTGTTGAGGTTTTGCTTTAATTCTATGCTCCTTTTCTTGTCTCTTTTCTAACACACTTTTATTTAATAGAGAAACGAACAAAAAGGGGATTAAGGGTATAGCCCATCTGTTTAATATTGACATAAAATGGCAAGCAATTTTGAAAAGGGGGGGGGAAGGGGGGGGTTTGTTATAGAGTCTGTTTGCTAGTGATTATGATAATTGATTTTTTTAACATGAGAGAGAGAGGTGTTTTCCACCAATAAGAAAAGAAGTCAAAAATGACGATTGAAATTGTGAAATAACTATCAAAAATTTGCTACCAAATGAGGGCATAACTTTTCAACTAGTTTTTTCTTTGTTTTCATCCTGATCAAGATAGAGCTATATATATTAATTAATCAAACAAGATTTGTTTTTTCATGATTTTGAAGTAGATAAGATTGTGCTGAAGTTAGTCAAAGAAAATAAGATGAGATTTGGTTGACTTCCTAACATCAAACAGTTTTCTTTTTATAATTGTGTTGGTCACGGCCTAATTTTTGACCAATTTTTATTATCTTAAAACCTATAAGACATCCCCTCAAATTCAATAGGTTAACTATCTTTCTACTCCATCTTAAGAGGTTTACGTCGAAAATTAGGTTGAGAAAATCAATATCATGAAGATATTGTGGCCTTCATTTCTTAAGCTCCGTTTAGATTATTGCCGAAATGTGTATTGGATTTCCTATGTTCCGGTGACCTAAAGAAAGGGAAGGAAATTTTCTCCAGCATGAGAATCAATATATTATGGAGGTGCAAAGTGCAACTATTAAAGGGTATGAAACTTGAAATTATTCTTTCGTCCTTCAAGCTCTATGAATTTACTTTCATAATCTTGCCTTTAAAATTTTACTATATTGAGTACGTTTCGAATATGGTACACACATTTTTTTCAACTATATAAATAAGAAGATGTAGTTTAGACACTTGTGCAAGAACATAATCGACCAATTCTAGTTAAATACATTGCCGGAGGCTTTTCCTTTTCAATTCTTTTAATCAAGCAAACTCACGTTTGCATTTTCATGTGAGAGAGTTTCTTTATCTTTTGAATAAAAGTCCTAAGTAATGTGAATCACAAAAGCCATTGCAACACGATTTAAACAATTTAGTTCAATCTGGAGAAAGGGATTGTGATCAATATGGATAAAGTGAAAGTTGAAGAAAAATTACCTGAGAGCATAGGTGTTCGACTAGTGAGAGAGAGAAGACATAACAGACAGGGACGGCTGTAGCCCCCCCCCCCCCCCCCCCCCCCCCCCCCCCCCCCCCCCCGCCCTTCCCCAGAAGGATTTTTTTTTTTTTTTTTTTTTCAGTTTTTAATGTGTGAAAAGACAATTTTTTTTCCCGCAGATTAGCTTTAAAAAATTTTAGCTCAGTCTTGGATTCTATTCTGGATCCGTTCCTTATGGCAGAGGTGTAGATTGTTGGTTTTCTACCAAGTTCCGAAAAAAATTCAGATGAGATGACATTTGGAGAGAGATGAGAATTGCCGTTGGATTTGGATTTGGATTTGGGAACCGGGAAGGGGTTGGATGGACATTACGTAGTTCGATTTGGGTATTACAAGAATCGGATTGGATTTGCAGTTGCATCAATTTGGCATTTGGCACTTGGTACATTTGGATCTGGGTTAGAACTTTGAATTGTCATCTAGAGAATCTTTTCTTTAGCAGCACC